AAACATTGTCTTTCTTTTAGAATATCTGTGGCTTATTAGCTTAGTGGCACTAATGACAAGGCCAGGGAATTAAGATCAAACCCTACATATGCCAGTCAGTTTCAAAGAAAAGAGTTTTTCCATAGCCAATGACTGTCCTCCTAACTTTGACCAGCTGTCATACAAATGCATGGCTGGTGGTCTGAGAGGTACCAAGCCCAAAAATGCCAAGGCACAGCATAAACTCAGACCCACTCAAGCAATGCTAAGTAAATTGGGTGACTATATCTTTGAATGACCCAAATTTACCATCTCTTCTTTAATTGGAAAGGCAGCATCAATAGGCTGGGGAAAAACTTTTGGTCAAGGTTTAGAAAGCTCCAGATTCTTATTTCCCCCCTCTAATTTAATAAAGGGCAGCTAAAATCTGACCTCACTTGACCCCATCATGTCCAAGAGACTGAGAACATGTACATGAGACCTGTCTGTTGGTCCTTCCTAGCAAAAGAAAGTGGCAATCTACTTTCATGAGGTATGTGTTCCTTTGACCAGATGATCTGTGTATATTCTCTGAGAGGTTGAAAACCAACTTAAACAAAACAAAACAAAGGAAGTGGTCCCTCTTTCTTTAAGTGGGTATCATCTTCTATTTTAGGGAACAAACAGAATCTAAAGAATATAAAGGAGATGAAAGATTCTCTGGTCACTACTGAAACCCAAGGTCCACCTTTCTTGAGTAGTGCCAAATCTTTCTTAATTACAACCTAGACTATGAGTTTGTTAAAGTTAGAAGAGGTCATTCACTTTAACAAAATCTCCTTGTTTTATAGGCAAGGACATTTCAGCCCAAGAAGTTTAAGTGTTTGCCAAAGTCTTACAGCTTATGAGGGGCAGGTCTGGGAGCAGTTTTCTGAGCACATTTCAAATGAAAGAAGCTTGAGTTAATCATAATAACCTAGATGGAGGAAGGTTCTTTCAATCAATAACAATGAAATTCATGGCAAAGTTTGACTTGAATTCTATACAAACAGTATGTTTCAACACACAAAGAATGCCATTTGTTTATTCAGATCTGTTCTTAATAACTATGCATTGGAAGTACATTTTATAAAAGCTATAAATCTGAAAGATTTGAAAGGGTAACCAACTTACTTTTCTAATTGATTTACTTCTCTTTTTTTTTCCCCAGACTGCTGAGGTAAAGCATATACGATTTATTTAAGGGGTTGTTTATAGACTCTTAAAACTAAAAAGGACCCCAGAAACTCACTTTCTTTTAGCTGCTCTTAATTGAAACCATCCAAGATGGTTGGTTGTCCATCAATATTTTTCTAAGTCTCTCCAAGGAGAGAAATTCCACAAGCCCTTGAAGCACATGTTAAAATGGTTAATGGCTCCCAAAAACTTATATCTATAGTAAACTTAATGTTTCCTATTTCACTGGAAGCTCTTTTCCTCTTGCAGTTCCACACAAAACGAGGTTATAACAAACCACCCTCTGTGAAAGCTCCATCCATCTGGTAAGATAACAACTAGTTGTTTTTCAACGTGCCACCTCTATGAAGCCACCATTTTTCTCATAGGATTATGAGCACACAAGACTGGCGGATACACTCTCTTACTGTGATGCATAGGGAAGAATCAGCAATTAGCTCTTCATTGGAATATTCATTTCAGAAAATGTCTGGGGAAGCTGCATTAATTATAGAGGAAGTGTTTCATTTAGCTGGGAAGTTGCTTACAAAAAAAGATAATCTAGACAGTTGTTTATCACATTGCTCTAGTGGGACTGGGGCTTGTAGAGAAATATGAGCTCATTCACAACACTGGGTCAATCTATACAAAATTAGTATGACAGAAAATTGTATTCAATTGTGTTTCTAATAAGGTTGAAAAAAATTCTTTTCTCGTTAAGCATTCTGGCCCAACAAAAAGATAGATATGGAGGCAGTTTGAATTTTCAGGTGTTTGAATTTCATACTAAGATAAAAAAAACTGCCTTCCACTACTAAAAAATAAAAAATCCATACTTTCAAAATGGGTTTGTAAGCAGCTTAAAGTACAAGATAAGACACAGCCACAATAAAACTTTGAAAATAAGAGTAAAAATATAGTAAGAGTCAATTGACAGGGGATGGAGGTGGAAATGACAAATTTGTTCTAAAAAGATTTCAAAGATTGTAAATGCTTAGAGCTAACTTTTCCAGACACAGTAAATCTCAGGGGACAAACAGGAAACTAAATAAAATTTGTTGACAACAGTTAATACCTGTAAGAATAATTGGCTCAGACACAAAATAGACCATCATTGTAGCTTGAAGGATAACTAGAATGCAGCCATATGTTTGTTAGTATATATTACATTCACTTAAAAAAAAGTAACACAGTTTTATCAAATAGCTGCATAAATATGAGCTGGTGGGAAATGTCCAAAGTACTTGATACACCTAATTGGTGTTGAAGACTAAGATCTCAAACAAGTAATTCCATTTTATTCAACTAGATTCAATTCAGTTCAATCCTGTCAATGCAACAAATATGAACCACTACTATAGTAGCCAAGCATTGACTGAGGTACTGGGATTTAATGGTAAATAGATATAGCATTTCACATCAAGAAGCCCATTGAGAGGGTATATCCTGGTTAGATGATTTCAAAAATGGGACAAAATATTCAGGAAAAGTATAAATGACTATAATCTAATCTCTCATGGTTGTTTTTCTCTTATGACACTTGATAATACTTATGTGCATTTTTTAAACCTCCCAACTAGATACTAGACTGTAAATTTTTTTAAGGCAAAGTCACTCTCTCTCATTTGTTTCTAGGTCTCATTGATGACTGGAATAGGGTCTTACACAGAGCAGATGTCCCATCAATATTTTGAGTTAAAGGATTTAAATGGGCTAACTTCTCTTGGGTAAACAGGATTATTCAGTTGAGTAGAAATTTAATAAGAATACTTTTGTGCATGAGGGTCTACATCAGGTAAAGGATTTACATAAGCCACAGAATTGTATAAAACAGAACTTATGTAACATAGACTCTCAATGACAATACTGACCATAATAATACACAATTTATAAAACACCTTCCCTTTCAAAGTCATACTCTTAAACATCAAGAGTTGCCATAGATAAATGTGCCCCTTTCAATTTCAAAGCATTTGCTTAAACTTGATTATTATAGTAGTAATAAAAGAATCCTTTCAGTGCATTGAAATTGGTTACAATCATAGTTGTTCAATACTCTTAAGTGTCAATGTGAACATATATATGTACCATGGGGTTACTTGGAATGAAATCATTCTTTCCATTCTCACTTTTACCGTCATCATCATCACTGGAGGATCCAGTTTCCATGTACTATGCATGGAAATCCTGGAGCATATCACGTTGACAGGACACTTCAACCTGGTACATAACAGAAGGCACTTGTGGACTTGGTAATCACCTGGTGAACTGGATCAAAGGAAACTACACAAATGGATTATCAAGGCGAGAGAAATCCTCTTGGGCATAGTAAGTGAGGACTACTTAATCGTTTTTCATGTAGACCAGTAGCAGCACAGTAAAGATTAATGACAACCCATTGCTGAGGGAAGTTGATGCGACACATTTGCCTTTTGTAAAACAAGCCTGCTACTTGATAAGAACCCACCTGGTGAACTCATTCATCTGCACTACAATCAGGAGCTAGACAAAAATCACTTTATTGTCAGAAAAATAGATAAATTAGCTCAATTAAATCATTGGCTGGAAACAGAGTGGGATTTTGCCCTTTCAAATAGTAGAAAGCACATCTTGTTCTCTGTCATTAGTTGTTTAAATTCTATTTCTTGCCAAATCCACAATGTGTACAGATAATCAGTCCTCCTTTTAGCCTCTTCCTTTCCATCCCTCCACCCACCCCAGAACCCTGTACACGGACTCCTATCCCAGTGCTCCTCCTATACACCTTCCCCACACCCACCAGCTTCCCTGGGAAGAAGATGAGAAAGACTTGAAATGTGTGAGTCAACCCGGGTGCTATTCAAAACTTAGTGTGTGACTGAGGTAAGCTGTCTACACTTGAGTGATATGAAGCTCTAAGAATGATTCATGCTCACTGAGGACCTGAGCATCAGTTTTCTGGAACGCTCCGAAATTCCAAAAAAAATTGTACAGAATGAACATCTGGCATCAGATTTCACTGTTCTGTAATGTACAATCTTCTGGCACTGATTCTCTAAGTGATGAGTTTCCTCAGGCAGCACCAACTTTTGTTTATGCTTATTGTTTGCAACCATTGACTTGGCCATCTACTTTTTATTGACTGTCGACTTTTTAATCACCTGAGACCTCCGTGTGGAATAAGTAACCCCACACTTGTCAGGAACCCCTTTCCAGATGGTGATCTCACTGGAGAGCCTCAGAAAAAGGCTGCGCCAAAGGAAGGCAGTAAATAAAAGCTCAAGATCAATTTGTGTAGAGGGCAAATGAACCTGGCATTTCTGTTCGCATTTAAGAGAGCCTGTGCGTTTGCAAACGTGCCTTTGAGGGAAGTTCAGCTTCTCTCTGTTCCTGGCGATTTCATATAGCATGGAGACATATGGGATGTGCTCTCTTAATTTTCCCCCCAAGTCCACCTTATTATTTTACTCCAAATTACTTGGCACTTCAAACAGGTTCACATGTTTCTATATGTTTCCATGTGCACACAAGGGTGTGGAGAACAAAAACCTCAATCCCTGAGGGTCATTCTGTCCCCTCCCTTCACTGAAGGGAGTGGGAATGGTGAGGAAGAGCATAATAGTTGCCCGAGTGCCCATCAGGAAATGGTTAAAAGGCAAACTGCTAAGGAGGAAAATTCCATCTGAAATCTACAAAACCTGCCACGGCCCCACTGAAACACTAGGCTTACTTTAAGGTGAGGAATCGCAGGCTGAGAGGGTGGCTGCCAGCCACCGGCAGTCATTATGTTATTCACACACACTCTGCGGTTGTAAATCCACAGAGCTGAGAGAGGGAGGGCTACTTACTGAAATAAAAGCCCCTGTCTCCACACACGAACTGAAGAGCGTCCACCAGCTCAGCCCCGCAGAGTGTCTCCGGTGCAGCTGTGGCAGAGCTGGTGAAGGTGAGCAAGCACAGGGCCAGGTAGAAGAGATGGGAGGATGACATGATGGGCACCTTTACCTGCCGAGGAAACAGAAGGAGGGTCATGTTTCCTCCTGGATTTTTGCAAGAGGACTGGGGGGGACACTGGTGCCCTGACTACCCCCCCTACATTCCATTACTGTCATGAATCAGAACCACTCTGCACAGAAGCGTGCACAACACAACAGACCACAGGGTGGCCTGGGGTGAGCACATCTGGACACCAAATGACCTGTGTGTAATCCCCTTGCTACTAGGAAACTTTGGAGAAGTCCTCCCTGGACCCCTTCTTTATGGGTTCCTCAACCTTTTGAATTATCAAAAGTTAAATTGTGCTCAGTCCAGATTTGGTGCCAAATATCTTTTATTAATTTACATCCTCTAAAGGCAGGCCATCCATAGATGGCATATGCATTCATTATTGACCAAAATATTAAATTAACCAGAACATCCTTCTGTAGCTACTGATTAAAAAGAACTTACTGTGGCTAAAAAAGGACTTTTAAAAATACTCTATAGCATTATAGAGATTTTTTTTTTTGTCACTTAAGATTGAGGGAGGGAGGGAGAGAGGAAAAGAGAGAGAGAGAGATTTCTTACCTGGGAGATTTCTTATTTCTTACCTAGGGGATAAACTACAGAAGTTAACACAACCACAGTGGAAATATAAAAAAAACAGAAACAAGAAAAAATGTGAGAATTTAGTAATGAAATTGACTCTTGCTAAGTAGACCCTAGTCTTTCTGCATTCTAAATCCCTTTGTGTCAAGCTCAATATCACATCAACATGTGTGTAGAGAATGCCGTTCATGAACAGGGCACTAGGCTCAAAACCTACAAAAACCTTTTTTTTTAAGACCCAAGAATTCTGACTTTACCTCTTGGAGGGACTTAGGTGACACTGGATCCATTTTATAGCAAAATATATTGAAGAACCCCTGGTTGGCTTCACTTCACAATGACAGCCAGCCAGATGGCAGCCCTGCCAGAGGTGTAATTCCTGTGGCTCGCAGCTCCATCCTCACTCTCAGTAGAAGAAACAAGGCTAAGGTGATCACTAAATGTTTCCTCATTGCTACTGGTGGCACAGAGCTGTGGTTTCTTCCAGGAAGGCTCCCTGCTCGAGCAGCTTCCCTGTTCCTAGATGCATTCTACTTCCAACAGCATTGGAAGAGTCATCAGAAGAGGTTAAGTGAATGACCCCGTTAAAGGTCACAGAGATAGCCTGGATATTATCAGGATAATAGGAGCCTCTTTGGAACTTCCTGGTAGGGGAAGGTCCATTTAACCCCATAACTTTTGGAGAAACAGACTCAAGTCATTGATTCTCTGCCCCACTCCTTGCTCTCCATGCACTCTCCACTTAATGCTTCTATATCAGTGGCAAAGTGTGCCCCATCCTTTCAATTAAGATTTCCATGTTGGTAGCCAAACCTTCAGCTCAGAAATTGGGGGAGAGGAGGCTTAAACCCTGGACTCTGGTTAAACAGTTGAATACAAAAAAACACCTTCTATTTGCAAACCATCATAAATAGAAGAGGAGGTAAAAGCACAACACAATTGAACATTTCTTCCATTTTCTCCATAGGACTCTATTGGAGTCTTATGGAAACCCCTCAACCCCACAAAGCCCAAACCACTGAGACGGCTAGAATCAATCATCAACCAATCCTCATTTTCCTTAGTTATAAAATAATTGGTGGGGCTCTTCCCCTTCAATATTTCCAGTGGAAACCTCAACAAAACCAACCCAACTGCACTTCAGTGCCCTTTCAAAAGAGTTATTTGTAATTGATCTTACAGAATATACCCACACTCTGACCATGGGTCAGTTCTAAGATGTATCCTTATGCTATCAATCTTATTTCTCCACAATAATGCTCAAAGCCAAGCAGTAGCAAATATAGATGCCTTTGAGTTCTTCAGTTGTCATGCAATCCAGGGGGGAAAGGTAATCAACATACAGCCTTAGTGAATTGATAACATCAGTTAGAATTCAAAACTATATTTTAAATAGTTATTTCTGGTATAACACATTTAAGCCCAGCAATACATATAAATCTCTAGCATTTAAGAATTTAATATTTTTCTACAGCTTTTTTTCTTTTGCTTAATTATATTGTCAGATAAATGTCAGCATGTACAGTTCTAGGATAAGACAGAACCTTTAATGCATGCTCCTTTAGCTCACCAAACAGTTCAGTACACCCACAAAGAACCAAAGAATTTATCACATTATGTGCCCCAAAACAGGAAACAATTAACCTATTTAGGAGTTAAAAGTTTGAAACAAGTGGCCTTACATGTTCATCAATTCCTTCCAAACACAAAAGAAATGGAGAGAGAGAGAGGAAAAATATGATAGAGAGAAAGAAAAGGAAGAACCAGAAAAAGAAGAGAAAAAAAGAGGAAGAAAAAAATTTCAGAACACTCTAAAAAATCCCCCACAAATCCAAAATTTAAAAGACTTTTCTTTTTATCTTAAATCAATGGAATATTAATTGATTCCAGATGCCTGGGCTACAATGAAAATGCCCAGCAGAAGTCAAGGGCAATAGTCATAAGAAAATACTCACTGTAGGTGTAACCATTTTTGTGTGTTCCAGATCTTTTACAGCAGGTCAGAGTGGGTATTATGAGGCTGATGTGAATAGAAAACTGAGGACTTAAAAGCATGTGCTGCTTGGTGGGTGGGGTTTGTGAAAGCATCTAGTTACATTTGGACACCCAAGCAGGTATGCTATGAGTCTGGGTAAACTGCCTTTTGTCCATTCAAACAATGAGCAAATTATACAACTTGGATTTGAGTCAATCTTTTCCCTTCAATCAAGATACCCATTTCCATTGTACCCCACCCAGTGACCCAGGCTCCAGCCCTCTCCCTTACCCTCTTCCCTCTGACTCAAACACTTGGAAAATGTCTTGAGACTCAGAGTACAATCTATCACCTTGTGAATTCTGCCTCCAGATAAGACATCTTTACTCCCTGAATTACATCCGAAAGACCACTCACCTCCCTCAAACCACTTCCTGCCCCCAATGCAGGAAAAAGGGACAACTTATTGCTAGCTCTGCTTTAGAAAAGTTCAGCATACACAGCATGGAAAGTTCATTTGGAGACAGCTTTCCATAATTAAGGCAGACATAACACTCAACGGCCTCTTTGAGGGAGACAAATCCCCCAGCTGTCAGACCACATAGCATATATGCATGTTGACTTGATTTCTCTTTAAAAGCAAAGTAGCCAGCCTGGGTCTTGGCATCTCAAGGGTAGCAGAAGCAGGTGCCCGGACAAGGATGGATCCTTAACTCCTAAGCCACTTACTCAGAAAAATCCCAGCAGTGGAGTATTTGAAAGCAGCAAATGAATGTTGTACTCAGGGGCAGGGACATTTTATGAATTGAGACCTCAGGCAATTTCATCGGGGAACCAGTGACAGCAGCTTAAAAGTGCTTGCAAATTGGAAAAACACAAGTCTTGAAGGATATCATTTTGCTGAGAAGGGAAATTTGAACTGGGGCCAGTGATTGGAAACGAGAAGTCGCTGCTCGGACGGTGGCAGCCAAATTGACCTAAAGAGACTTTGTAGCATTGAGTGTAAGATCAGAGTTTTACAGCACACACCCCCACAAGCCCAAACTTCACCCAAGAAAGTCCTCTTTAAACTAGAAAACTTTGACCAACAGTTACTAGAAAGTTTTTGCTTCCCATATACAGTATGCATTTGTTTAAATTATGCGAGTACACAAGGTCAGCAAGAGTTGTCAAGTTCTTTTTCAAGAGCAAATGAAACTCCTCTCTAATTTGGACCTTCTGGGCAGAAGTGCAGAGAGTTCCGGGACCTTAGCTCCAAAGATCATATTTAAAAGCTTTAATATCATCTAAAATATAATCCTCTGTATGTGGTATGCCATGTAATAAAAATCCTGACAGGTTACACACACACACACACACACACACACACAGGATAACAATTTTTTTAAATTAAACATCTGCACCTGCAAAAAAAAATTTTTAAAAATCCCAAGTTCATATCCCCTCTCTATAGCCCTTAACCATAGACAGGATTTAAAGGAATCTTCTCTAAAGACACCACGGACCCCCTGCAAAGTGAAGGATTTAGTATAAACACCTGGCAATAATTTCTACTCATACATATCTCTGTGTAAAGACATCTATCTCCCGGAGCTATCTTTTCAAATTCCACAGAATTGCACATTCAGCAATTTATAAATAACTCCCAGTTCCGAAACAATGAAAATTCTAAAGTGAATAACATTTCTAGGCAGAAGCAAAACAGCACACACATGAAAGCAAATCCCCCCAATGGCTTCAAAGAGTAAGAAATATTTACCTTCAAGGAATCACAAAAGCAGCACTTAAATAATTTGGTTGGAAGACTGCTGACTTTTCCCATTGCTTGTGAAGTGCAAAGTCTGGAAATGAATTGGTTAGCAGGAATAATGAGGCAAGAAGAAATCCAGAGAGATGGGAGATGTTGAGAGCAATGTCACATTTCAATTTTGAGGACTTTATTCCATTGCGCAGGCTCTATCTGCTCTGAATTTAGCAGTGACAGTGAGATTTAGCAAACAGAAGAGGGATTTAGAGAAAATCCTCACATTTATCTACAAAACACAGACACTGTAGACAGGAAACAGCTGGGGGAACATTTGCCTTCTCTCTCTCTCCCTCTTCTGGCAAAGTTATCGAGTAAGGACTTTTTTGGGCAGGGTGACAAATAACATCATACCTTTGCATTTTAAAACTAGAGCACGGAAGCATTTTTTTTTCTTCTCTTAAAAGAAGGTGTGTTGGTGACAGGGTGAGCAGATATTAAAAATATTGATGCTACTATAGGAGATGAGAATCTGTCCTCTGATTAACTTTCTCTTGGGCATGAAGACACACATCTGTTCATACACCTTATCAGTAAAGGAGGGTATGTGGGCAAGCAATTTTACATTCTAGAGCAAACGCAAAATAAAAAAGCAAAGCCAAGATACCCCAAGCAATCCTACAATTTTAACCCTGAAATGACTAAGGTGGACTCAGTTGGAAGACGGCACTGGGGTGACCCCTTGTCCTACTTGCCAAGCCAGAGAAATGATCTCATTTCCCAGAACCTAGAAAAGGGGCAGGCAGCAGTGCAATTGGCTCCCTTTAGACGACACACTGGTTCATGCTTTTTGCCCGCGACAGGGCAAAGACTTTGCTGAGCTGTAAAGCCAATTGAAAAAATAAAATCTTTTTTTCTTCCTTCTTCTACTAGGCTACCTATCATTCCCCCTCTCCCCCCCGCCCACCCCCAAGGGGAAAGGGCAAGCTATTTTCCCATTGTTCATATTTATCTGCATAACTCTAAACTCTCTCTCTCTCTCTCTCTCTCTCTCTCTCTCTCTCTCTCTCTCTCTCTCTCTCTCTGTGTGTGTGTTTGTGCGCGTGCGTTTTCTTTCTCCAGTGTTTGTGTGTTCTAAATAACACCAGCTGGCTAGCAATGCCCTCTCAAAGGTTTTGATGTCATTCAAATCTCTCCACTGGATGGCTGGCAATATGGCCTAAGCCAGCTGTTTTGCTATTTATAATGAACGATTGCCTTTGCCATTAAGAATAAAGTTCTGATCGCTTGTCAATAGGGTCTGTACCAATTTCTTTCTGGTTTTGTGTGGTTGTAGATAAGAAAGTGGATTATGAAATAGAGTTGTGAAAGTCCAGATAAGATATACCAGTTTCCCTACATGGCCAGCCAGGCATGGCTTCCTGGGATGGTGGGCATAACCTGGACCCTGCGTTTCCCTCTTGTGATTGTCCGCTGACAGCAAAGGTCTGCTGGAAACCGTGGTCTGGAACGTCATGCTGCCCTGTGGACAGAAAGTTGTTTGCAGGTGTCAGTGCAAACCTGGCTGGTTTCAGAAGAGGGTTCAGTTTGATCCTTCTTCTGTGTAGTTAAAAATTTGCGGCGAGGTCCACCTTCCAGGAAGAAAAGTTAGAAATTATTTGAATTGAATGCCGTTTTAATGGTGCACAAAGCCAGCCTCATATAGTGAGTGCCTACTATGTGCCCAACTACATGCACCATGGTCGAGGCACCACAGGGCTCTCGGCTGAGTGGCACAGACAAAGAGGAAATTTGATCATCACAGTCATGTGGTGGGTATCCTCTCTTTTAAAAATATGAACAGTGCACACTGTGGGGGATGTGAATATTCTCTAGAAAGACGGGGAACTGAAACCTGGTTGAAAGTTCAGAATGGAGAGAAGGATGGATCCTGGGAGGCTTTGGGTTAAGGTTGGGAAGTTTTAGTGGATATGATTTGACCTGAAGAGAATACAACTATGCATCATCAAGAGATGGCCAGGTAGGCATCTGCAGATGTGCGGGCAATTCCTGTACCTTAAGGAAAAGGCAATACTTCCTTTAATGATATCCTCTTCATGCATTTATGACTCAATGTACCCAAAGTCTCTCTTTCTCTGCAGCTTTTGCAGATCACCCCCTTTGGGGAAAACAAAGTCTGTTCTCCTCTCAGACTTTGAGGATGAGTTCATATAACCAAAGAGTGGTATCTCTCTTCCAGGAGGAAAAAATTGCCGTCAGGTACTGGCTGGAGTCTTGTCTCTGAGCTCCTTGCTCCATCACCAGGCACCTTTTCAGATGAAGGCCAGGGCTTTCATATTTTATTGCAGCTTTAGCATATTTTATTTATTTTTAAAAAATATATTTTATTGATTTTTTTTTTTTTTTTACAGAGAAAAAGGGAGAGTTAGAGAGATAGAGAGTTAGAAACATTGATCAGCTGCCTCCTGCACACACCCCACCGGGGATGTGCCCGCAACTAAGGTACATGCCCTTGACTGGAATCGAACCTGGGACCTTTCAGTCCGCAGGCCGATGCTCTATCCACTGAGCCAAACCAGTTTTGGCTAGCATATTTGAATTGTCCCAGGATGTCCTAGGGCAGTGGTCGGCAAACTCATTGTTCAACAAAGCCAAATATCAACAAGTACAATGACAGATTTCTCTTGAGAGCCAAATTTTTTAAAAGTTAAACTTCTAATGCCACTTCTTCAAAATAGACTCACCCAGGCCATGGTATTTTGTGGAAGAGCCACACTCAAGGAGCCAAAGAGCCACATGTGGCTCGCGAGTCGCCATTTTCCAACCACTGTCCTACGGGCTCACTGCATCTCTCCAAGGCTGGAACCTGGACTGACATACCCTGGTGTTCCCTGGGCAACCATGGCCTGTGAAAGGCTGCTTCGGGAGAGCGGACACATACTACTCCACCAGACTGCGCTCCTGTGATATCCACCTACCGACTCCCAGTCTCTTGGTTTTGTAACCCCAATTATCCTTAAAGGATAATTGAGTTTTAATTTATGTCCCAGTTTTTATGTCACAAATAAAACTGAAATTTTAATCAGTCGTAATTATCATCAGCTGTGCTGTGGAAACACTCCACTATGAGCTCCCAGTTTCCAACAGGGAAAGCAATTTCCCAAAGTGTTTGTTGTATATTTCAGTGTGGGGAATGGTCTACATGTCTGGGTAGGATGAGCCAACCAAAGAACTGGGCAGCGATTTCCAAGAGAAATGGCCATATTCTCTGCTAATTCCAGAGCCAACATGAAAGGGAAAGGGTAATAAATACGCCACATGACTACTTTTTAATGGCTGAGCAATTGAAGGCACCTCTTACTAGAGAGTCTGAGGTGAGAGTAAATCTAATCTCTAGGATGAGTTCAGGTCCTGGAGCTTCACTGGAGAGAACATATGGGCTCACTCTACAATGACTGAAGGGCTGTGTAGTCTCCTGCCTGGGACAAGCTGGCAGCTATGGGAATTGTATGCCAACAAAATAGCTAAGGGCACAAATGTGCTCATCATGAGAACTCACACTCCCAGAAATTCAGATTCAAGTTTCACCTTTTAGGTGTATAATGCTTAGGGGGTATACACACTCTACCCTAAAGCCTACCTCTTGAGTAGCGTATTTGCAGTAAGCTGCTGCCTCAGAAGATTCCTGATGCCTCCCTTTAAAAACACAAAGCTGTTCATCTTCTTAAAGCACAGGCTGAGAGTGGGAGTCACAGAAAAGGGATCAGCATGGCCCAGTCCCCACTCCATTCGAACCATCTTGCCAGCCTTCTCCATGCCAACTGCAGAGGAGCTGATCCCAAAAGGTAATTTCATATCCATGTGCAATAGGGCATATTTCCAAGTTATTTTATTAATGTTTTTGCTGACTCCAAAGAAAAGCTCAGAAGGGATATTTGGAGGCAGGAGGACTTTGGAAGCAAATAAAGGGTGAGGTCTAAGGTTCTAGGGCCACCCACCAGGCAAAGAACTTGGGGAAACTATTGGATGTGTGTCCTGGATCATGGTTTGTGGGGAGGGTTGGTCTGGAAGAATATTCTCCAAAGTTTAGGATCATGAGCTTGTCAATTCAGAATGTAAAACTCAGAGGAAAAGGCTGGACCTCAGAAAACACACCGTGCTGACAAACAAAGGGACTAATGTCAGCTCCAAAGACTTGCTCAGAAGGGGCTCTGTTATTCCTCAGAAAGATCATATGTAGCTCAAAGAAGTTGCTTTAAATCCTTACAGGAGCATTTCCCCACAACTAGGGAAAATCCTCTCACTAAGGAAATCAATGTGTCCTTTTCAACATCAAACGTGGATCTTATTTCTTCTAAAATGTCAAAAGGGCAGATGCTGAAAGCAGGCAGAAGCAGAACTGCTGTGGATTGGGAGCAGCAAAAGAATTTGTCGAAAAGGCAGATGAGGAATCACTGCATGGGGCGAGGATGGCTTGGTGGAGTGAGAGGATCCGAGGATTCACCATAATTGTCCCAAGTTGAGTAGAAAAATGGGGAAAGGAGACACAACCTTTGAACTTTACAGGCTGTTACCCACGAAGTGATTTCTTTTGGAATAAAAAAAATGTGCGCGCCCTCTAGTGGGCTGAGGGGAAACTGCTACTGTAATCTTAACCATTGATGTGGCCTTTCTAGGAGAGTGGGCTTTTTGAAAAGCTCTGGATTAAAATATATTTTAAATTTCACTGATCTTTAGTTTTATGAATCATTTTAAAATAAATAAGCTGTGTTTTAAAGAGAGGGAAAGTGCTAAGGGGAGAAAGACAGATCATCAACTTCGCGAGGACACAGATGTATTCTTCACAGCAGGATTCCCCCCATTTAACTCCTGGTATGGGCTCAAAGCACAGTGTTGATCGAATCAGAGTCTGGAAAATTGATGATGATGATAAAAGTAAAATATTTAACATAAAAAAAATAAACTCTCTGAGAGTGAAATGACCAATTCCTAAAAAGGAAAAATAAGAAAAGTGAGGGAGTGGCCAGCAAGGGTAGACAGAAAAGGGACTTATTTAAAATGAAACAAATGTAGGTGCCCAGGGATGGATCCTAAACCCTTGTCTGTTCAACATGTTCCACCACATCAGTATTTATGTGTGCTAAAACTCAAGTAGTCAAAGACACGCCATCTAGCCATCTAAGAACCACATACGTGAGGAAGTGGTTCCATTTTTAATGAACTTTCTGTTCTGAATTTACCAAGAAGATATTCTCAGGTACTAGCCTAGGTTCCATGCCTAACACTTGCTAATCTTCCTTGTTAGACAACAGCAAACCAATTACCAACCAACCAAACAAAGACACCTTAAGCC